TTTTTTCGATTTTAAACGGAAAAATCTTATTTGTCAAAATCGGATTTTCCCATTTGTTTTTTAATTATATATTGGAACTCTCAAGAGTCTTAGAAGAAGAGAAAAACGGTTCAAGAAACATGCACATGATCATTTTCTATAAATTTTGGCTATTGAAGCATTTTATCAAACTTGTACAGAAATCAATCATAAACATCTTGTTTTTCATTAAGATGTAATTCGTTTGCATAAAATAGAAAAAGAAACGGTATTATAAATTGCTTCTTCTTGAAGTATCAAATTTTTTCTCTAATATTGTCGGTAGAAACTCTGAATTTTTCTGGCTATCCTCAAGCATCGGGTACCCACATTCATTCGCTGGTTTGCACCGAGGATTAATCAATGGAAATCCTATTTTCTTCTATATGTACTTATACACCTTCGGCATTTTGACGTGAGCTGATAATGTCTCTGACAGATAGGCAGTCACCCTTAAGTATCTGATTATAAGTCGCTTCGCTGGCTGACACAAATGTATGAATCACTAAAAGTGTCTGTCACGGTTTACAGTGTAAAAACAAAATCAAGTATTAAAGCTTCACAATCAATTAGCATCCCTTCAAGAGAATACGAGATCTCAATAATTCCAATATACGGATCAACAACTTGAGATCTGCAATCCTGAAGATATTCATCGAATTCCTCTAAGAGGCCATTTTCTTCAAAATTCTTGAGATGTTTTTGCAATTTCCCAACTAATTTAAAATCTTCCAATGTTTCTTCAGAACTCTCTCTATAGTTGAATTCTTTTTACTTATATCCTTTGAAACAACATCCAAAGAAGATTCTTCAGAAATTCATTCTTCTTTTCTTCCTCATTCAAAGGCACTGGAAAATCCCCAAAATCATCAATAAGGAATTGAAGTCCCGATCGTATTTTGCACACGTCAATAACACGAACAATATCGAATTCGCTGATTGTAGATGAAATGTACCAATTGAGGACTGACGTAGACTCTGCTATCTGTGGATCAATGAGTCTTTTTTCGTCTTTTGAAAAAGGAATTTACTGACATCGAATATCAAAAATAAGATCAAAGAATTCAGTTCCATTAGAAACAGCATTTCTTGCTGTATGTCTGCTGTCAATATCCACATTTTGAAGAGTTTTCAGTATGGAGAGTAACTGGGATTTAAGCTCAAAGATGATGCCGTCATCTAAAACGTTATATATAATAAATCTTAAATTAATTACATGGCTTGTTATGTTATTTACTGCAGGTGCTATATTTATCTCTATATTCATTTCGTTTTCAGAATTTTTAGAACCCACAATTATTTTCCATTTTGACGATACGTCCTCAATAGGACGACTAAAAACAGTCATACTAAAGGTATGTAAAGACCCTTGACGTCCCATGGAAAAATTATTCCGAACACGGTTTTTTCTCGACCATAAGTTCTGAATTGAAGCGTTTCTAGGGGTGCCCGAATAGCGAAACCTGACCTTATCTAATACTATCAAGCATTCTCATACTGCTAGCTGGAAAGAGCATACAAAGTTGCATATTTCTATCCGCAAATGAGATCTTCTCCTCTGACATTCAGAAAGAATTTTTGACTGGAGGTCCTTATCTGCGTTAGCAGATATTACTCGTTTCACAAAATTTCATCCTAACTGTATCTCGTACTAAATTTTACAAGCACTCCTTCTTTTTTCTTAATATTGCTCATCGATCCTGTGGGAGAATATTATCTGAGAAATTTTACTTTCGATATCGTTTGAGATATCAAGAACTTGTTTTTAATCTAAAGAAACATCGGGTCTCCCCAGGAAAAAGTATCAAGTTCTCCTCAAATAAGCTCGATTTACCCCGGAAAAAAATTGAGTTTCTTATGACGAAACAACAAGTTTTCCCAGGAGAAAAGATCATGATCTTGTGAGGAAAGACCGAGTTTTCCGGGAGAAAACATGAAGTTCTTGTGAAGAAACATCGGATCTCCCGAGGAAAAAGTATCAAGTTCTTGATAGCATTAGATAAGGTCAGATTTCGCTATTCGGGCACCCCTAGAAACGCTTCAATTCAGAACTTATGGCCGAGAAAAAACCGTGTTCGGAATAATTTTTCCATGGGACGTCAGGGGTCTTTACATACCTTTAGTATGACTGTCGATTGCATATATTCAAACCTTCTCGGCTTTACGTTGTGTATAAAGTGGACAAAGGGATCCTGCTAGATTGTAGGATCCACCAGATCCCATCAGAATCCATGAGGATCCATCATGGAAACCTAATAAAGAAGCACAATTGGATCACAGAATTTCGTTGAAGAGGGAAAAGGAATAGTCGGAATATCGTGATCATGGTGGCTTATGTTAGCTTTCGATGAGTTTTGATGAATTGAGTGGTTTATGGAAGATTTTCCGGGACTTACGGGATCCATAGGATCCACGTTTAAGGATTTCAGCTAAACTCATAATGTATTGCAATAAGCCACGGTGCATACGGATGAACTGCACTGAATGAAGCAGACCTTGATAGAATTGTGTTGAATCCGATAACTTTAAATGGACTTTTGTGCAGTCGGATGAGTTCATATTAGAATCCCTAGGAAGTTTCAGACAATACAAATGCATTCTTCTTGAGATATTGCATTTGCAATAAATTTGGATTTTGGTAATTCTTTCCAGGAAACAGTCGATTTTTAAAAATTCCATATCTCAAAGTAGAAAGAAGAATGCATTTGTTTTGTCTAAAACTTTCAGAGTATTCTAGTGGTCCTTAGACCTCTTAATGGACGAAATTTCAGGTCGAAATTCATTGATTCGATTTTGCAGATAAGCAAGTGACACAGACCAAAAAACAAGTAAAACGATTATAATTCAGCTCCATAGACGCATGGGGACAAATCCTCTTAGAGTTATTGTAGTGTCGGGGGCCCCTCCTTATCCCCAAAGTATGATCCTAAAAGCGGTTAATCACTTCGGGCGGTTCCCTCGTGAGTTGAAAGATACGCAAAAATGTAGGAGTTTCTGAAAATGAGGATTTTAGGGCATAATTTGGCGGAGTAGTAGTAGAAGTAGCTAGTACTCGAAATGAACGCATCTTATATACAGTTTTTTTGAATTAACAATTTTTATGTGTGAATCCTAAACTGGATCAACAGAATATATGGTTGTTCATCTTTGTATAAGGTTCCTTGGTTCAATATTATTTTCTATATTTTAACCATCAAGTAATTGCTGTTCATTTTGTCTCAGTGATTGTAACGTATTGGGGTTAAATATTTTATGAAGCTTTGCAAAATATTCTATCAAATTTCCTGGTTGATTTTCAACAGCAGTCTGGATTTTCAATAATTCTTCTTCAGTATTACATGAACGATTTATTAATTTGCTCAGCATAATGCCTGTTTTCGAGGTCAGTTGATGGAAAAATATTCCAACAACACTAGACTTTTCCAACAATAGTGTTCGAATCCATTCATCAATTTCCGCTAAAAAAATACTACAGAATAATGTAGCATAAGTCCTTACTTTACAGTCTTCAAATTCGCTTAGCTCCTGAACGAATTTTTCTAATGCTCCTATTTGACAATATTTAAATTGAAATTCATAGTGAGATTCTATTGGTAAAATTAAATCATTTTTTTCAAGAAATACTGCAATGCTGATTTCCGCTTGTTCGGGAATATGTTTAAACATTGGTAAAACTCCTATGGCAGCGAATAGATATGCTGAAAAATCTTTACAAAGTTCAATATCATCTAGTTCATCTTCAAGGAGATCACCGAACTCATCATCTTGTTTCATTATGTTTATATGAGCATCGTCAATGTAATGACGTTCATCGAACATGTTTATAATCATTTCATCTGATAAATGACCAGGAGTGTCTATATTAAAACAGTTTCTCAGACAAAATAACGGTGGTAAATACCACCAATCCGTTAAAAATTCATCTGCATCGCTGCACTTCTTAAACAACCATTGGAAAACTGTTTCTGACCATATTCCCATTTGGGTTTTGTGAGGATACGTTGCTTCTAAGAATAAACGATTTTCATACAGTAATTGTAAAATATTACGTTGCATCAGTGTGTCCCCAATGGGATATTTTAGTTGGACTTTATTCGATAGGTATAATTCTTGCGTGTACATCATGTTGTATGGTAAACTACGTAGTAAATCTTTAAATTTTGGACCATGTGGATGATCTGTTAACAATGTTTGCTTATGCATTACTGACAGACTATTTGATATCATTGATGGTGTTGAAAATGCTAATGGCAAGTACGGCTTCTCGAGCTTTAACACAGAATGCATTTCATCATATATATTCTTGTTTGTGTTTACTAGACTACTGTCGTATTCATTTAATAAGAATGAAAGTTCTTCAAAAGGTTTTAACATTTGTTCCAACATTTCTCCATCGAAAACGGTTTTAATTACTGATTTCAATGTAAATGCGGAAATGCATAAAGAGTGTGTAAATAGTAATATTTGACTTTTACGTTCCGCTGAACTGAATTGCGGAATTGGTTGATAATACTCAGTATCAACAAATAACTGTTTCCATCTAGACCAATTATCTGTTTCACCATCATCAAATTCATATAAGTTATCTAATATTTCCAAGCAGCATTCAGCAGCATCCATTTCATCAAGTATATCAAAACCTGTATCCCAATAATGTTTTATTGTACCATACTCTTCAATGGCCTCAATCAGATCTGGTAGACGCTCAGCATTTGTTCCACTGCGATCCATGTAATTATCTGTATACTGCTTGATAATTTCGCCTAAATTTGATGAACCAATCATTTCATCAAGGTTCACATCCAGCTTTAATGTCTGATGAGCTTTTTCTAAAGCTTCTACAGAACATGATTCTAGAATATTAAGGCCATCAACAAAATAGTGTGGACAATAACGTTGTTTCAACAATGAGCAAACATAATCAATCCATTTCTCTGCCATATGTTTTGCTATAACTTCATCATCCTCGTGTTTAAAGGCATTTAGATCCATCTGTTCACACATCCACAACACGGTTGTTTTGACGAAATAGGATCGAATGCGACCATCATTATTGCCATCTTGTGGTTTATATAAATACTTGTAATAAATATTTCTTGTTACACCATTTAAAATTTTTTCGTTTTTTGTTCGTTTATCGGCTAATATAATCTCGACTGCAGAGAAAGAATAACGAAATTCGAATCGCTGATCAGAATCAGTTGATTGATTTCCCGACCATTTTGGCACTAAATGCATGTAAGCTGTTTTTATATCTTCATACAAAATAGGACGATTTGCTTTAAAACGGTTTAAAAATATTTCTCGTATATCCGTTGGCCAGAAATTGAGTTTAAATGCTCGCAAAACATCAGTGCTTGATTCATGACAAGAAACTTGCTTTCGATAGGCTGTAGTACAGCTATGCTTGCGCACTGCTAAATGTTTATGTTTTAAATAGAAATTAATTAAAACGGATGCTTGCAACTGCTGCTCATTTGTCAATGGAATACTGAATGCCGGTGCATATAAACTATAATAAGAACTAAGCATATTTTGAAGACAAAAAATTTTCGGAAATAATTTCACTTCCTTCCAAGTACTTTCAATTAATTTATTCATTAGCTTCTTACTATTTGACCCATTTAGTAATTCATAAAGGATTTGATAATTCTTCGATGCTACAGCAATATCCTGTGTTTCATTTCTCATAGTAGTAATCAGATCTAGGCCTTCTTTGAATAACACTGCAGCAGTTATTTGTTCCCGTTTTTCAGTTAATGTTGTTTGGACAGCCGCTGAATCGGTGGTTATTTGATGATTTATTTCACAAAATTCGTCAACCTCATTTAATTTCATCGATAACTTCATCATTGATGAAAAAACTTCTTTGATTTTAAAGCCATCAACACAGCAGACACCATTTTCATCTTGTCCATACGGCTTCGATGATAATGTTATATTATTCCATTTAATACGAACAAATCCAGGACATTTATCCAATTTGATCAACTCATCTTCTGAATAAATAATACCTTCCTCAAAAACTATATCAAGATCGGGCTGATGATTTCTATCACCAAAATGTCTTGAATAAGTTTGTCCTTCTCTACAGCTACCTGTCGTAAACATGTTTTTATATTTTTAATTGTAAGTAATAGTTTGTTCCACTACAGAATATATTTGAAAACAGAGGACAAGAAAAGTTACTTTTCTTAATAGCCTTTCTGCTGTCTAAGCCTATACTTTTCTTCTACGAAGGAAACAAAGAAGTATAAACATCAGCGATAATAAACTGCATTTAGTGTAACTTTAGAGCACAGAGCGAAACATATTAGTACAATTTTTGCCATACGAAAGTATAGCTAGCTAATAGCGATCAGTCTCTACGAGCTGTCTATAGTATCAACACAACTGTGTTTTAATATTCCATAATAGCATATGTTTTATTCAAGCAACGAAAAAATAATTCAATTATCCCAAAAACGATGTTGTTTATTGTCATTGTTAACACAATATTGAACAAAATAACTAACTGATGTTTGACGTTTATTATACAACAATGAATGATACATATGATCACGTATAACGCATCGACGATAAACAGCAATACATTTGTTTATTGTATTACACCCACATATTTGTTGATGATAACGATCGAGATCGCCATACGTATCAGCATTTTGATTTGTCTCATCTGTTAGTCCATTTGGTGCTATTTTTCGTTCGGTTTTATTATGTAATGAAAAATCAATACTGTAATAATAGGTTATTAATTCTCCATAATAACGAGTTCCATGACGATTGGAACTGATATGTCCAATAAGATCTTCTTGGCCAAATGTTCCTCTGTTGCAAAACGCTCCATGATCATCATATTGCGGCGAGTAATGTGAATGAAGATGGAGAACCAAATTTTGTAAACCAGTACATATAATGCAAAATGTGCTATTGTTTCTAATGATAAAAATAAATAGAAATTTGGTAATAAACCATACAATAACATATTTCGTAATTCAGTGGCTTTGACATATGATAAATCTTTAATTGCTCTCATTTTTCGATTAAAAAAATGAGGAAAACGTTGTTGTTTCAAACTAATATCTAATCGTTGACGTTCTGCTGGTTTCAGTAAAGCATACAATTCAGTAACAATTGCTTTTGTATGACGAAGCAATGTTACATGTAAATAATCTATAATGATTGCTTGTGGTAATGGAACATCTAATATTTCTTCAAGTATATTTGTACCAAGATGTCCAAATTCATTCGTTCTATTTCTTTCAGCTTTTCTTGATTCTTCTAAGTATGACGTTGTTCCACGAAGCATCAATGGTTGTTGAAAAAAGTATTGTCTTTTATTCATAATATGTGTGCCGCGTATATAACAAAGAAAACAACAGTAATATCCGGTATGACCAATAAAATTTAAAATAAGTTTCAATGCTGGACAATCGCCTATTATTCCATAAAATTTAATATCATATGATAAATTCGGGCCAACTTGAATACCTATACAACAACCCGAAAACCCACTGGAAAAACAAAAAAACACAAAAATTTTGTAAAAAGTCCTCGTTACGAAAATTTCAGAACGTACGCAACTTTGGGTACTATAGCTGAGCACAAAGCACCAGTTTTCAAAGTTGCCATATGTTAATACAGATTCAACTCTGGGATTTTTATATCTCAACAATTTATAAAACCGCTAATATATCATAATTGTAACACGTATGAAATAGCAGCGCTTCTGTATATATGTGGTGAGAAGGAAGAAGATTTTCCTCTAAAATATTTTTCGAAAGAAGCTTCTCGCAAAAAGTTATTATTCTCCTTAAGAAAAAATTTCTTTTTTCACAGTACACAGTGGGCAACTAAGCGGACATTAGGCCAAAAAGTCGATTTTATCTATCTTGAAATACAAATAGTGCAAAATGTAGCTCTTGAAATTCTCTATCGAATGGTGTATAAACGTCTATTGTGAAAC